TACGAAATAAGAAGAATATACTACACAAGTGTTATAGTAGAGAAGCCATATCCTAAGAGGGAAATCGTACAGTGTCACAATTGCCAGGCATATGGCCATACCAGGACTTACTGCCATCATCTGCCGCGCTGTGTGAAATGTGGAGAGCAGCACAAATCCGGGGAGTGCACAAAACCGAAACGGGATCCTGCAGTTTGTGCATTGTGCCTTGAAGGACATCCAGCGAACTACAAAGGCTGTCAGATCTACAAGAATATTAAATCAAGATATCAAAAATCCCGGACCCAAGAAGAAGCAGAGGCATCAAGAAGAGAACCTAACGCATCAAGAAGAGGACCTTCAAAAAAAATTGACCCAACGGTGTCTTTTGCACACTTATTAGGAGGTAAGAATGATGTTACTTATTGTGAGACCCTGCCGCAACAACAACACATACCTCAAAATTCTCAACCCCACCCTCAACATCCTAATCAAACTTCACCTAATCAACAGTTTTATCAACACCAAATTCCCCGCATTCCTCCTCCCTCAAATACCACAGATCTCACCAGTTTACTTACATCTTTCCTCTCCGAATTCAGATCCCTTGTTACTCCTTTGATATCTCTTCTCACCAATCTTGTATCACATTTTATCCCTCCCGCGAAAAATCCTTAAATGACTTCCAATAAACCTTTATCCATTCTCCTTTGGAATGCGAATGGTGTTAGGAATCACACAAACGAACTAACTACATTATTACTTGACAAAAATATTGACGTGGCACTAATTACTGAAACTCGACTAACCACTAAACAGCACTTCAAAATACCACAATACCTGACATATCGTACTGACCACCCTGACGGAAAAGCACATGCCGGTACTGCTGTCATTGTACACCAATCCCTCTCCCATCACCTACTCCCGTTACCTACACATGATTTCCTACAGTCCACCGCTATCGTGATAAAAACCTTTTCCTTTCCGGTTACCCTTGCATCAGCGTATTGCCCTCCTAACCGATCCATATCCAATGCCCAATTCCGTTCTCTCCTCGACTCCTTAGGACATCACTTCATCTTGGGTGCAGACCTAAATGCCAAACATCAACAATGGGGTTCCAGAACCACGAATACTCGTGGCCGAACCCTGCTGTCTGCACTCAATTCCCAACATTTTCACCTCCTTTCCCCCAACTCTCCTACCTACTGGCCTACAGATCCCAACCGTAATCCTGATCTTCTTGATTTCTTTATCCACAGCGGCTTAAGTCCCCTCAATTGTTCCATTACACGTCTAAATGAACTTTCCTCTGACCATAGTCCTCTAATCCTTAATGTTTCACTTGAACCCGTTCCCAAACCTTCTCCACCGTCATTTATTAGGGGCCCAGTTAACTGGGACCTTTTCCGCCAAATCATCTCCGATAAAATTGATCTTAACATATCCCTCAAAACTCCCGATGACCTTGATAGTGCCGTAAATTCCTTTACTACCACAATCCAACAAGCCGCCTGGACTGCTTCCTTCCCAAAAGACTCCTCCAGAATTCCTAAAAAGACCATTCTACCCCAACACCTCCTTGACCTAATCCAAACCAAACGCCGTGCCAGATTATTGTGGCAACGTACCCGACATCCTACCGACCGCTGCTCCTATAATTATTACTGCAAAAAATTAAAACTGGAATTAGCCACCTTCAGATCACATTCCTTCAACTCCTACCTATCCTCCCTTTCTTCTCGCGACAATTCCCTTTGGAAAACCACTACCAAAATCTTAAATCCTCACCGCATTTCCCATCCCCTCCGACGAGATGATGGCTCCTGGGCAGCATCTGACGAAGATAAGGCTGAGGAGTTCGCCATTCACCTATCCAATACATTTATTTCACATCCGGAATCCCATCCTGCCCACACCGTAACAGTAGAAGAACTCCTTACATCACCAATCCCACTTTCCTTGCCCCCAAAAGCTATTCATCCTTCCGAAGTGAAATTTCAATTAAAAAAATTAATCCCCCGTAAAGCTCCTGGACATGATCTCCTTACCCCTCAAATCCTTCGACAACTTCCATCCAAAGCAGTCATATTCCTTACATATATCTACAATTGTATCCTACGCACCACCCACTTTCCTCTGCTATGGAAACACTCCACTATTATCCTTTTCCAAAAACCAGGCAAACCTCCCAATATCTCAACATCCTATAGACCAATTAGCCTACTCCCAATCCTTTCAAAAATTTTTGAAAAGATCCTTTTGAAACGAATCCTACCCATTATAGAATCCCAAAATATTCCTTCCCATCAGTTTGGTTTTCGCTCCCAACATTCTACTGTTCAACAAGGACTCCGAGTTGTTGATCATATTTCCTCAGCCCTAGAAAACAAGGAATACTGTTCGGGTGCATTTCTGGACATTGCACAGGCATTTGACCGGGTATGGCACTCCGGACTGCTCTTCAAGCTTAAAATCCATTTACCTCAGTCCTTGTACCTAGTCCTCCGATCCTACCTCTCTGACCGCTCCTTCCGAGTTCGCTGTGGAACAGAATTTTCCAATATCTACTCCGTTAAAGCCGGTGTTCCCCAAGGCAGCGTCTTGGGTCCCGTGCTTTACATCCTCTTTACTGCTGACATCCCTGTTCATCCCGATACTTTTCTTGCAACATTCGCTGACGACACCGCAATCTTATCATCCAACTCTGATCCCAACATAGCATCCTTAAATCTCCAAAACCACCTCACCTTGATTGAGCACTGGTGTAATAACTGGCGCATTAAAGTTAATGAATCTAAATGCCAACATATTACCTTTACACTCCGACGCAGTTCCTGTCCACCAGTACACTTTAATTCCATCCAGCTTCCTTACTCAGACACAGTCCGGTATCTTGGCTTTCATTTAGACCGAAGACTAACGTGGAACCCACATACTAGACTCAAAAGACAAGAACTCAACCGACGATACGGCCAGCTATACAGACTACTAAACAGAAAATCCAAACTTTCTATTGAAAACAAATTACTTATCTACAAGACAATACTGAAACCTATATGGACATACGGACTTGAACTGTGGGGGACAGCAAAAGCTTCTAACATCAAACGTATTCAATCCTTTCAATCTAAAGTCCTTCGAACAATAGTTGATGCTCCGTTCTATGTAAATAACAAAATCCTACACCATGACCTTAATATCCCATTTGTCCTAGACCTTATTCCAGAAAAATTCTCCAAATTTCACCAAAACCTTACCTATCATCCAAATCCCCTTGCACAATCTCTATCCAGCACCACCCATCCTTACAATCCTCCTCGAAGGTTGAAGCGGCAGTGGCCCAGAGACCTTTTGTAAATAAGCATCTATTGGAGTTTTGGCAGTGGCCAGATCCTCCACTCAAGCCCGAGTGTGTATGATTAGGTTAGTTCTTTTGTTTATATACATTTATTTTATTTTATTGTATTTATTTTTATTTTATTTTATTGTATTTATTATTATTATGTTTCTGTATTATTTGTTTTTTTTTAATTGTAAATAGAGTGTGAGTGTGCTTTCTCTGAACACTATTATAAATGTCCTTGATGTGACAGAATGTAATATTTCTAAATAAACAAATATAAAATATAGGAATTATTTATCTGTATATTGTCTACAATTAATCTTACGAATAAATTTGTTTTTGCCATTTTTACTTTGTGTTTCACGTTAGTAATTATAATCATTATGATTATAAACTGATTTTCATGTTTTCAAAAATATGACAATTAATGTAATTTTATTGATAAGTATACAGAATATTTGATGGTATATCGTCATAAGTGTTACAGTCTTGCAACATAGCAGCCTTTAAATTAGTTTAAGAATTACTGAAATTTAACTGCTTTAAATCTCAGATGATATTCTTTTTATAACGTGTGTCACAACTATACTCACCTCTCCTATACCCTCTTATTTTTATAAACATTATTTCTATATAGTACAAGCGCTTGTTTAATTTTAAGAATGCATTTATATTATAACAGTTATATTTAAACATTAGCAGTTATTTCAACAATGAAAATGTATGTTTTGGTAAAGTAATTTTGTTTCCTATATATTATATAATACCCTCGAGTGCAGAGTCTAAAATACCCTCCCGTCTCTGAAGAAAAGTTTATATATTTTTTTTTTTAGATAACAAAATAAAAATAAAATCCTAATGGCTAAACTAGATAATCCTAAATAAAACTAAACTACTAGCCTCGTGATTGTTCTGAACTCCCCCTCCCCCCCCCCCCCCCCCCCGTGTGCCAGGTTGAAGCACACGTGCTTTAGATTGGGCAACCCTGCTTTAAATACTAAATGTTGAAATGTGTACAATGCATAGTGGAAGATGAAAATTATAACTAAAAGAAACGTTGCAATACAAATCTTCGTAGCAAGAGTTTACCACCAAATTTTGATTATTTTTTTCGGATATTTTTGTTTAAAACTGGTTTGATATATGAGGGATTGTTGTTCAGTTTTATCGCTACTAGCTTTAAAAATTTGGGAAAATGCATTCATAGATCGAATATTTAATTTATTTATTTTTATAACGGTAATTACTTTGAAAGAAAAAAATTAATAACTGCACAAACAATAATGCTTTCAGGGATATTTTTTTATATTTATATTTATTTGATTTTTATATTTATATGATTTTTTATAAATATTTATATCTATATTTATTAATATCTTGTTTTTTTATGATTATTTGATTTTTATAGTTTTATTTATTTTTTATATTTACATATATTTGTTAAATATTTATTGGTATAATATTTTTTTGATGTTTTCGACTAGAACCCATCAAAGGATATCGATAAACCATTAGCAAATTAAAATATTAGTAGAAGGAGCATGTTTAAGGGATTGTCGGTTCCCTCATTATTTACAGAGGAGATAGGCTGTAATAAGCATTAAGGGTCTCGTGCGGAGCGTGTTGGAGAGGTGATGGGTGTGGCTCATTTCATGTTGGAGCCTTGAGCAGGATGGGTAACAAAGTCGTCGTATTTAGCGAGGAACAGCTTCAAGATTATCAGGTTGTATCCAACAGATGTACCTCATATTTTAGAATTAAAAATAAGATTTATAAAACAAATATATCAACTGTTTACACATTTTTTTTTTTTTTTTTTTTTTACCTTCTGCATATATTATTTATAATACATGTTTTTACATAATTAGAGTTTTACTTCATGATATCGTCTATATTCAATCAACTAATAATTTCACTTAAACAAAAAATTAGTTTAATTAAAAGGAATAATATTTTAACGTAAATCAAAAATCTGAAAGTGAAATTTGGGTAGGAAAGTGTTCCACGTTCATGAGCCAAAGTTTAACTAATTAAATTTACCGCGAAGGACTAAAGTAGTTGCCCCTACTATTTTTATTTATACTATTTGGAATTTATCACATTATTTCTCTGGCCGATCTACCGGGAGACGTTTTTGCTGAAGAAATTTTTTTTTTTTTTTCATTGTTCCACGTTAGTTTTTGTGAGTGATCTAAGCTACACGCTTAAAAATAACAATATTTTCCCTTTTTTAATTATAATACATATACAGATATTGAATTTAAGCATGTCTCAAGAAAAAAAATATAAACATATTCATCTCTGAAAGTATTTATTATTGTTCCTATAATTAATTTGTGTGTGCTAGTAAACTTATTTTTTTTTATTTATTTTTTTTTATTATTTATTGGAATTTACAACTGTATTACATAGAGAATACAATAAGTAAATGAGAAATTGGTAACATGGCATGTACAACATGAAGAGAAACTACCCATTGGTAGAACTCAAATTAAAGTTCTATATTGGAAGATCCCGAGGCCATCTTCTTTTCAGACGCCTCGGAGGGTTATCAGGGATCGAGGAGGAAGCAAGGTTTGAAACGAGAGGATTCGGATGGTGCTGCAGTTTGTTATGGAAGGAAAGGTATCTGGATTGGGCCAGATCGGAAACATATGGAACATTAAGGTCTTTATGGATGATTTTATTTGTGACAAAGTAAGGAGCGTTGAGGATTTTATGAAGGATTTTGGATTGTAAGGATTGGATACGAGAGGAATTCGATGGTTTAGTGGAGCCCCAAAGCTCAATTCCGTAAGTCCAAATAGGTCTTATTATTGTCATATATACGAGTCGTTTATAATTGATTGAAAGCTTAGATCGTTTGTCTAGTAAGTGCTGCAGTAGTCGAAAACGTCGGGCGGTTTCTAGTCGTTTCAGTCTGGTATGGGGGTTCCAAGTGAGTCGTTTGTCAAGGTGGAGTCCTAAGTAGCGGATTTGCTCAACAGGAATAAGTGGAGTATTATTGAAGGATACTGTAGGACAAGAGGTCATAGGTTTACGACGGAGGGTAAAGGTGATTTGATGGGATTTGTTGGAATTTATTTTTATTCTCCAATTTTTACACCATTCTTCAAGGCTTGTGATATGTGATTGAAGAGTTTGGGATGCAATTAAAGGATCGTTATTAACTGATAGGATACACGTGTCATCGGCATAGGTGGTGATGACAGTGTTGGATTGGGTTGGGATGTCAGCTGTATAAACTGTGTAAAGGATAGGACCTAGGATACTACCTTGAGGAACACCGGCAGACTGAGTAAAAAGAGATGAATAAGCATTGTTATGATTGACTTTGAAGTATCTGTCAGTAAGGTAGGAACGGATAATGAGGAAGTATGTAGGTGGTAGGAATTCACGGAGTTTGTACATCAGTCCCGGATGCCAGACTCTATCAAACGCCTGTTCAACGTCGAGAAAGACTCCCGTGCAGTACATTCCGCGCTCCAATGCAGAGGAGACTACATCTACCACACGATGGCATTGCTGAATAGTGGAGTGGGATGTGCGGAATCCAAATTGGTGATCTGGGATAATGTGTTTAGAGTCTAGGATGGGATACAGGCGTTTTAAAATGAGTTTTTCCAGGATTTTGCCCATAATGGGTAAAAGGGAGATAGGACGGTAAGAGGATGGGTGTTCTGGCGGCTTTGTGGGTTTAGGTATCATTTTGACAATGGATAGTTTCCAAGAGTCAGGAAAATATGTGGTGCGGAGTACAGCATTAAATATATAGGTTAGGAACAATATGGATTTTTTAGGAAGAAATTTTAGGATCTGGGATGTGATTAGGTCATGGCCAGGAGCTTTGCCAGAAGGTAATCTATTAATGATATTGGATATTTCTGAAGGATGAAATGCTTTAGGTGGAGGAGTCAATTGGAGTGGGATATCCAATTCTGCTTCAATAAACTCAAGGTGGGTTGGATTAAGGATGTCTGGGTGTGGATTAAATGTTTTTGAGAGGTGCTGAGCAAATATTTGAGATTTTTCTTCATCAGATCTGGACCAGGTTTGGGTTTCAGTAATAAGTGGGTGGTTAAAATCTTTGAATTTAAGGAGCTTTTTAGTGGTCAACCATAGTGATTTGTCACAAGTAGTAAGTTTTTCTGTCATGTTAAGTAAATTTTGAACTTTGTATTTTCTAATTTCAGCTTTTAGTTGGTTAGTTAATTTGTTGTAATATGTCTTATCTGATGGGTATCTAGTCCTGTGCCACTTCGATCTTGCTCTGCGTTTTTCCCTTAATAAGATACGAATATGCTGCGGCAAATTTGTCTGTTGGGAGTTGTCAGTTTTATTGGTAGATGTATTATCCTTTATTTTGTCACTTATAGATGTAGTAAGTTCTTTTATGGCTGTGTCAATATCACGTTTCGTCTTAAGTGGAATATTTAGGTCCAATTTATTTTCCAGGTCTTTACGAAAATTGTCCCAGTTTACTCGTCCTGTAATCAGTGTAGGAGAGGACGAGGGCTTAGGAGCGAAGGTTGTGTGTAATGAAAGCAGAACTGGAGAATGATCTGAGGAGAGGTCATCCAGGGATTTTATTGTGACATGGGAAGAGGAAATTTGGGAGGTGACAAATATGTCCAGGATATCAGGGCGTTTTTTGAGGGATGTTGGCCAATAGGTAGGATTCATAGGAGAGAGGACAGAGTAACTATTGGAAGTTGAGACAGAAGATAGTATGTTACCACGGGAGTTGGATGATCGACAACCCCATCGTTGGTGTTTAGCATTGTAGTCTCCTCCAGCAATAAAGCGCGATCCGAAGGATTGCAATAAGGATTCAAGTAAGTTGTTGGTAAGAGTATGACCGGGAGGACAGTATACAGCTGAGAATGTTAAATGGAAAGGACGAGTTGAAATGATAACTGAGGTTGCTTGAATAGCCTCAGTTGGATTAGAAGGAATGAGAGAATGGGATAAGGATTTATGGATAAGGATGCAAGAACCGGCATGGGAAGTGTTGTCGGGGTGGTCTGATCTATAAGTGATATAATCACGTATGTAGAAATATGAACGTCGAGTGAAGTTACTTTCTGTCAGTAGAGCAATATCAATGTGGTAGTCATAAAGAAAAATGTCGAGTTCGTCTCGGTGGTTGTGTAGTCCGTTAGCATTCCATAAAAGAACAGCTAGGGGCTTAGTGCTTATCGTGAGAGATTGAAGGGAATTTCGGTAAGGATTCTTGTGAGGAGGGTAATTAGTGGCTTGATAGTCTCTTGGAGATCTTTCAGGAAGGACGCAAGGGTGGAGTTTATTAAATCGATCGGGTTTTGTTGGTCAGGTTGGTTTTGATTAGGAGTTCGTGAGGGAAAGCTCTTATGATAAGGAGAGTCTGATGAAAGATGTACCCTTGGAACTTGAGAAGGAGAGTAAATATGAGCAGTAGGATGGGAATAAACAGGAGTTGGATGTTCGAGCGGTAATTTTACACGTATAGGTATCTGATGAGGAGGCATTTGCTGACGTGAAGATTTTGAATGAATGTGGGAGATTTGAGTCTTGGATTGGGAGGTCTGGATCTTAGTTGATTCTTCACCGTGGTGTCTGAATATAGATGCCTTGAGTCTTGATGGGGATGATCTGTTGATGTAGAAGAGTTATGTGTCAATTGTGGTATTATTTCGTTCGGCAGTTGAGGAAACGCTGCCAAATTTAGGATGTCAGGTGCCTGTACCTGGGTAGGATTCTTCTGTTCTTTTTTTAATGATAAAATAAGTTCTTTGCTTATATAGCTTCTTATAGATAATGCAGCCCCGATAGGTTGCAGGGTGGTCCTCACCACAAAGGGCACATTTTGGTGGTTCATTTAACGGCTTCTGGCAGGTGTTAGAGGCGTGAGGCCCGGCGCATTTAACGCAACGCACCGAGTGATGGCAGTAAGCCTTTGTATGCCCTAAATTTTTGGCACTTGGTGCATTGGACGACTATAGGTTTCTGCTTCGGCTCTTCAAATTTTACAACAGAATACAGCAGTCTTTTAACATCGAAGATTTCGGCATTATTCCGGGCTGGTTCTAAATCGATGAAAAATAATGGCAGTGGGTATTTATCAATTGGATGTGAAAAAGAAGATATATGTCTTACAGTATGGCCGATATCTTCCAGATCTTTTTTTATAGCGGTAGTGGGTGTGGTAGAGTGAAGACCTCTCAAAACCACCCTATATGTTTTGTCTTCTTTTAGTTGATAGCAGTGGAAGTCGTGATTGTGTGCTGTCAAGTGATTTATAAGTTTTTTATAATCATCTTTAGTATTGGTGTTAATCATTATATCGTTGACGCGAGAAAAACACCGGAAGTTGGTTGGTCCTATCAGATTAGCTATTTCTTGACCGAACTGAATGAAATTGTCAATCTTGCTTACATATATCGGAGGTGGCACTGGTTCAGTGAAAGTTCTAGGTTCAGTGATTTCGTTACTTTTATTATTGGCTGTAACAGAATTGTTACTGGATGTGTTAGTTGGTGGTTTAGTGTCAGGTTTCATAGCTGAATTATTACTAGTTTTTGATTGTTTATTTACTTTGTGAGATTGCTTTGTTTTAGCGGATTTTTTTTTTATTAGATGAGTTGCCCCCCGGTTCGGCGGGCAGAGTTTTTATGGCGCTTTTGGAGAGTTCGCCTTGTTAAATATTGAGAATCAGTCTCACTGATATCGGAGAAAGGAGTCACT